CTTAAGGTAATTATAATCTTCATATGTTTTATGTTTTATAGCTTTGTTTTTAGAATCTTCAGTAAAAGTTCTAAATTGATTTTAAGGAGTCATTAAAACGACGTGTCTTATTATTAAAAGGAACATCTGTTGATGTTATAGAGATTGTCAAGAAAAATCTTACTTTTACAGAAGGTGCACATTTTCTTTGTAAAATACTAAAAAAAATAGGATTCAAACTTGCTGTAATTTCTGGTTTGTATTTTGTTTTATAATTATATCTATGATTGTATAAGCTTTATTCATTCATTCACATTCAAATATTATTTATTTATTTATGAAAGGAGGATTTATTCCACTGGCAAATTATGTAAAAAGTGAACTTGGATTAGATTATGCTTTTGCAAACGAGGTAAGATTTTATTTTAGTTGGATTGTAAAAAAAAAAAAATTTTTTTAAAATAAAAACTAAATAAACAACCATTCTAACACAGTTAAAAGTATCACCTGATGGTTTAACGTTGACTGGTGAAACAATTGGGCCGATAATTGATGGGCAACGTAAGGCAGAATTATTGGAAGTGATAGCTCAAGCTGAAGGCGTTGCGTTGAATCAAGTTATTGCTATTGGTGATGGTGCAAATGACTTATGGATGTTGTCTAAAGCTGGTTTAGGTATTGCATTTAATGCAAAACCACGAGTTCAAGAAAAGGTAATCAAATCAGCCAATCAATTAATGATAAAAATAAAGATTATTCACGACTGATTGTTTGTTTATTTATATTTTTGTGAAATACAGGCTAGTACTAGAATCAATCAAAGAAGTTTAAAGTATGTGCTATATTTATTAGGATATACAGATGAAGATGCCAAACAATTGTATTCCACTGATAATTGATGTACAATTCATATACATACTTTGTTGTCGATAATTTATATTATATAGAACAAAATCTAAAATGTAAAATTATCAAAATTTTTATTTTATTTATTTTAAAAAATAATTTATGAAAATGTCTAAAAATGAATCAACTGAAATTTTTGTTGAAAATATTTATGTCTCTACATTCAACCAATTCCAACAAAAGTAATTATTACTATTATAAATTATTTATTTTTTGCCATATCCATTAATTTATCACTCCTACTTCCATTTACCAGAATTACAGAATGGGATAATTTAAATTCAACAGGACAAATTGTTTTACAAGAAATAATTAAAACACATGAAGAATTTGGAGCATTCATCAATGATTGTGCTAATAAATTCTGCACGAAAGAAAATGGTTTGTAATTAAGTAGTAATAAACGCTTACATAAGATATAACACTTATCTATTTTTTTCAATAATTTAGAAAATTTAATTTCCAGCTTGTTTGAAATATTAGAAAATTGTAATAAAATTTCAATAATGCCTAATACTTGTTCTTTCCATTCATCATCCATTTATATTAATGTATATTAATTTATATTAATTTCTTTTTATAAACGATATTAAGTTAAAAACATTCTAAATAATATGCATAAAATTTATGAGGATTCTTTGAATCTATTGAGAGATCATAAATTTATGGATGAAAATGATATTCAGGTTAAAAAGATTTCGAATATATTAATACCATGTTATTAAGGGATTTGTTGATATTCACTTATTATTTTTATTATTATTTAAAGTTATTGATGAAAGAGATTCACATATCAACAGATAATAATAACAAAATAACATCCAACACTTTTTCATCATCGTTATCGTCATCATCGTCATTTTCAACAAAAAATGCTCAGATAATAACTAAATCCATTCCACAATTAGTTGAATACTTGGCGAGCTCTTTGGAAAATTTTAATCAAGAATTAATGCTAAAAGTAATAAAGAATGGATTTATTTATTCATTACCTTAAAATATTAATTAAATACTAAACATCTAAATAAAATAGGAAACTACGATCTTATCATTAAAAAATGATTATATTACACTGACAGATCATCAATTACAAAATTTCTTATCATTATGGACAACTCAACCTTATTTATAAATTCTAAATAAAATAAATAGTAAATAATTTATTAATATATAAATAATTTTAAAATATGTAAACAATTAAAATATCATTATTATAATTATATTTAACATGATGAATTATTCTTATATCCATCTATCATATTAATCAATCTTTTTGTGGATACATGAGCAAGATCATAAAAATATTGATTTTGCACAGGATCAAACATTGTAATATGTGCATCTATTTCATCAGCTGATGTACATGACGCAGGTGAAAAATATTTCTTTTTTCCTTCTGGAGGTTTAACAATAAATGTGCGTGGTAAATCTCCAAAAGCTTTTGGCTCGATCTAAATTAAACATTAGATGTTATTTATTTATATCTGTAAAAAAAAAATCAAAATCAAAAAAGAAGAATAAACCAATTTTACCTGCGTGTAATAACAATGAAAACCAATTCTTGGAACTTTTATTAAAGTTTCAACCCTAAACAAATTAAAAACAACAAAAAGATATTAATCCTTCTTTCAATGTATTCATTCTTTTCCTTTTAATAAAAATCAATAATCTACATATTAAAAAATATATATATTTATTACCTTTCTCTGAGTTCATTTATGTTTATTAATACGCCAACAAATTCTAAGTGACTTCCCAACCATCCAATACCGCTACTAACTTTTTCTTTATGTAAATATGCTGTAGCACCTGCTCCGATAGCTGCTGCACCAACTAATGCCATACCCCAACCACCAAATCCGCCAGATTTTGAAGCAGTTGAGGTAGTAGAAGCAGCTATAGCTGCAGCTGCTGTTGCTTTTGAGGCAGAAACTGTTGAAACAAATTCTTTTGTAGCTGTAAATATTGAATATGTTTCTTTAAGTTTTGTAGTAACTCCCGATACTCTTTCTAATGCTGCTCTGGAGAAGACATCGCTGTTTACTCCATAAAATGGCGAATCAAAAGTTAATAATCCAATTATTTTTGGTTGTTTTAATTGATTTGAAAATCTTATTATAGCATCAGCGCCTAAATATCGTAAACATAAATTTATATATTAATATACAGATTGCATTTTATTAATCTTTTCATTTTTTATCGAATCTCTAACTAGTTTATTCACAAATAATACACATATTACCTAAAAGTCCACCCATAGAATGCCCAATCAGACCAACCCATATATTACCAACTTCTTTATCATCATCATCAGAATCATCATTAATATTTAAACTTCCTTTTTCTGTCAACATTTTTTCCTCGTGTTCTACTCTTTCTTCCAACCAATTACAAAAAATCTCCACAGCTTTCTTTAAATCTCCACGTGTCTCATATCTTGGATAAATGATTGTTTCAGTTTCCATGTCACTATAGAAACTTGTTAGGGTGTTATGTATCCTTTCTGGAAATTTCTGTTTTTATAAAACACAACAACAACATTAACAATAATACTTGTGATTCTTATTATAATTATTGGTGTTTGTTACTGTCATTATTGCTATTATTATGATCATTGCTTTCAAAAAAATAGTTACCAACCTGAAATGTTGTATCATCACCTTTAAAACCATGTATGAATACCAGTAAAAGTTTATTAGGTTTGATCGATTTCGTAATTAAAGACATTATTAAAAAAAAGAACGGAGAAATTAAAAACACCCTTCTACATTCATATGATTTTTATTTTTATTACTATTACTATGGAAATCAAGATCTACATTTGTTACACCTTAATTGGCAGTTCTACTTATTACCTATATAATAAAAGTATTGTACAACAAGGAACAGGAAACAATGATCCGCGGGTGCATTTTACAAATAGATCCGATAAAAGACTTCTTTCTTTTTGAGCCTTTACAAATTTGGTTAGAGGTTATGGGTATTAAGGGACAATGATTTCCTGCATTTTGCACAAAACCGCAGAAAATGCAGAATCTCACACTAAATACAAAACCTAATATTAATACTAACTTTAAACATAATCGCGCAGAATTACAAAAAAAAACTTGTATTGGGGTAGATCAGTATAGTTCCGCGATCATCGGAAAGCTACAGTGCGGATCAAAAGTTAAAAATCTTGAAATATTATGTGATCCACATGTTGGATTTTAAAAAAACTACCACCATTCAACTCAGCTTTAAAAAAAGGGAGTTAATTAATGCAATAAAAAAATTTGTCCCCAAATTTTTTTTTCATGGATTTTTTAAATTTGGGAGTTATGCTCAGGAATGCAATACAGTCAAACTCGATAAGCCGAACTTTTGGGAACCGACAAAAATAGGATCGACTTATCAAAATTCGGTTTATGGAAAACAATTTTTATTATTATTAATTGTCCAAATAAAATAATAAATTTTATTTGTGAAGGATTTGGGCGACTGACAGTATGAAGTAAACCGAATTTTATCATTATAAGACGAATTTCAAAGATCATCAACTGGTTTTCACAAATATTCGGCTTAGAAAGTTGCATTTTTATTACGTTGTATCAAACTTTAGTTCGGTTTATCAAGTAAAGTAGAAATTATAATTAATAAAATTCGACTTGGTGAAATAATTTTGCATCGTTATAAAGCGAAAACCTGTTTGTTGGCTAAAAATTTTTATTGCACGGAATTTACTTGGTCTCAATTTTTTAAGTGCATAACACAAATTTGGAATTTTCAAAATGCTAAGGTTCTGCCAAATTTAGTTTAAGAAAAAGCTAGCCGATAAAGTTTTAAAGCTTGAGTCATGGACAATAAAACTTATCGGATAACTTTTTTAAAATGATGTAAAAATTTATTGTTGGCAATTAATTGATTATACGTAGCTGACTTTAGATTTAATGTAATTCTGGCCAAAACTTCTATTTTTATGCAAATTTTGTGTCGATCGTAACCGCAGAAAATCATCGTCCCTGGTATTATTATAAAAATCATTGCATTATACTCCTTCTTGACAACTAAAAACAGATTTCAAAGAAAACGCCGTTTTGAAATATTCACATCAAGGCTGGCTGCGTAACTCAAATGAACATTTGACTAAACTGACTAAACTATTTAGTCATATGTTAAGTCAAGTTTAGTCAAGATGATCATTATTAAATTAGGTTTTAACCCTTTATATTGCCAGCCCTGATTTTTACATATAGGTTGAGTTTTTAACGGCAAAAATTTTGAACAGCCAATTTTTTGACCGGATTGTCAAAATTTTCGAATATATTTAGGATTGATATTGTTCGTGATGAAGAAGTGGTAGAGGTGGGAAATTTGTATTCTTTAATTGATTGTGAAAGTATTTCAATATTTATTTTGATGAAGGGTAAATTTAATAAATTCTTGCTTAAAAACACCACCATGTTTTGGATTTTTCATAATTGTTTGTCGGAAAAAAGTAATTATGATAATAATAATCATTTCGGTTTTCATATAAATAATTATTAATATTACTATTAAATTAATTTTGGCATTTCGGGGCCATTTATTATTATTATAAGAGAGATAATTACGGCAAACATATACAGTGTTTCTTAAAAAATAATGTATCAATGTCTCCATATGTATGTATACATGTTGATTTATTCCGGGGTCCACTTGGTCGCAAATTACCAAAAACAAATGATGTCAAGTTTAGGTTGTAAAAAATATTTCTCCCAAATGAATAATTATGAGTTGATATTAATATATATGTAAAAAAGAAAATTTGATCATTATTTTCATTATGCTCTTAGAATTTAATATTAATAATACTAATGATAAAAGAACTACAAAAGTTAAAATTACGAATAACATAAATTTAAAAGATATCTTAACCCAAGATTAAAAAAATAAAAATACATGTATCCTTTTTTTACTTGGTTATTATGGAAAGGACCCATTTATAATGGTTACCTCTATCCATTACGATTCATAGTTTCTAGTCTGCTATGTTTTTCTAAAGCTTCTTTAGAGATTTTCAATTGGGAATAATCAAAAGTTCAGAATTGTGTAAATTTATCCAGTGAAACGGCTTGACTCATTGTGTCATATGTTACATCATCAAGTTTAATAAATCATTGTTGCTCATTTCGTCTCGTCTCATCTAGAACTAGAGAACTAGAACGTTTTATACAACATCTAAAAATTGAAATTTACCAAAAAAAGATCTTTAAAGACACATCCTGAAATTGGAGAACGCACTTACATTTGCGTTTTTCCCATTATAATAATAAGATTTTATTTATTTATTGGTTAATAAATAAACAAACAAATAATAATGTCATTCAAAATTGGTTTAGTCATTTTGATGTTACACGATTCTCGTTATTGAACAACCTGATGGAGTTGAATGCAAAGTAAAAGTATTTTTCGCTAATAATGATAATGACAAAAATGATTATTTATTATTTAAAATTTTTGGTGTTCCAACCATTTATTGGAGAGTAATAGTACGCTTATACTCGAATAATTTTTTTAGATAACAGTCATTTTCTAAAATGTTGTATCCTTTTTTTACTTGGTTATTATGGAAAGGACCCATTTATAATGGTTACCTCTATCCATTACGATTCATAGTTTCTAGTCTGCTATGTTTTTCTAAAGCTTCTTTAGAGATTTTCAATTGGGAATAATCAAAAGTTCAGAATTGTGTAAATTTATCCAGTGAAACGGCTTGACTCATTGTGTCATATGTTACATCATCAAGTTTAATAAATCATTGTTGCTCATTTCGTCTCGTCTCATCTAGAACTAGAGAACTAGAACGTTTTATACAACATCTAAAAATTGAAATTTACCAAAAAAAGATCTTTAAAGACACATCCTGAAATTGGAGAACGCACTTACATTTGCGTTTTTCCCATTATAATAATAAGATTTTATTTATTTATTGGTTAATAAATAAACAAACAAATAATAATGTCATTCAAAATTGGTTTAGTCATTTTGATGTTACACGATTCTCGTTATTGAACAACCTGATGGAGTTGAATGCAAAGTAAAAGTATTTTTCGCTAATAATGATAATGACAAAAATGATTATTTATTATTTAAAATTTTTGGTGTTCCAACCATTTATTGGAGAGTAATAGTACGCTTATACTCGAATAATTTTTTTAGATAACAGTCATTTTCTAAAATGTCACATAACAGAACATGTTTTGGTTGGCACAACAAAATTCAATTTCTACAATAGTTACAATAATCTGTAATATTTATTATTATTATTATGATTATTTGTTATTCGTAATACAATTTGACTATTCGTATATATTTATTATTATTTGTAATACATTGGATTACAACTAGAGTATTGAATATTCAAAGAGGTTTAATGAACATACCCCTTACTTTGAACAGCACAAAGATTTCTTATTGCATATTTTATTACGCGAAACAACTGTTCAACTATTAATATCGCGTGAAAATAATAAAATCATATAACCATATATCGACTAGCATAGTGGACATTTGATTTCATTGGCTAATTTTTGTGATGATATCCCTTCGAAATATCACTCAAAAATCGAATCTTATTGGCTTGAATATCATTGCCAAAAAAAAATTTTTAATAAATGCGTATATATAATATAATTCACATTTATATTTGTTAAACAAACCAATTTAAACTTACAAAATCAATTAATTTAATTAATTTCTATTAATTAAATGCATATTTCAAAATGAGATAAAAAACCACTGAAAAATTCAATTAGATTTTCATAAAAACTTAAATTTAACATATTAAATAAAATAAAAAAAATAAATTGTTTTAAAATGAGACAAAACTATGGTCCATGTAAAGTTGAAAACTGTAAAAATAATGATCCTAATACAAATAAATTTAGAACTTTTACTGAAGATTCTAAAAACAAAGCTATAAAACATAAAACATATGAAGATTATAATTACCTTAAGATTGGTGATCAACTTTGTCATCCACATTATTTATCAATTGTAGTGCCAAATAGAGGCAATGATAAAAAAAGACGGTCAGGAGACTTTGGGGAAATTTTTATTGTTGATGATGATGATTCTACAGAATCCAAATTATCTCATATTCTGGAAAATTCATCTGATAATGTTGAAGAAAATTTTGATTATTGGTCAGATATAAATATTAATAATCATAAAGATAAGGTATCTTTGTCAAATGAAAATTTTGATCTCCTAATAAATAAAATAAAAGAAATCCAAAAACAATTAAATGATTACAAAAAAAATAAAATAAATGAATTTAATGAAAAAATTAAATTATTATCACAAGTATTGTATCAAAGGCAAAGACAGCTGAATTTAGACATAGAGTTAGACCCTGAAAAATTTAAAGATATGATTGAGAAACATGATATGAAATTAAAAGGTTTTTTTGATGAATTAGTTGATATCTTTTTACCTTCTAATAGATCAACACATACTATAGACAATGCCAAAAAATCACTTGTTGGGTTTTGCTACTTGTTGACTGGCCTAAGGAATAAATTTAATAATTCTCTTCAATTAGAAATTGGTCTTTATTTATTTTCATGTGGTGCTACTACAGAGTGTATAGATGTGATGTCAAGACTTGGTATTTCAGTATCCTACAAATCAGTAGATAGATACAAAAAAAACATTACAAGTGGTCACTTGCCAAAAATAAATCAGTATTTTGAAGAAAATAAAAA